AAAGGGCGACGACACCTCTTAAAGCGGCACCGGCAACCCTTAAAAGGGTCGAGCCCCACAAGCGCAGGGGTGGTACCCGGCTTTTTATCCTCCTGCTTGCCAAAATTAGATGGGTTTGTATTATTTTTTTTTAAAGCATCAAGCAAGCAGGAAAGGGAGGGAAAGACCCTTTGCCTGTTGCTGAGGACTTTTTTTTTGTTTGTTTTGGTGATGCTGAGGTAGGGTACGTGTACAAAGTGGGGTGCAATGCCAGGGGTTACGAGAGGTCAGGGAGGGCAGGGCTGTGGGAACTGGGAGTTTGGGTGGAGGTGGGAGCGCTGCTGGGTCATGCCAAGGCAGTCAGATGTGCTGGCACCACCCAGACATGTTGGTTCAGAAGGGTTTAGCCTCAGTCGCTGCAAAAAATCCCCTCCCTGGCACGCCTCACCTGGGTTTATGTGTGTGCTTAACCTTAAGCACCCGCTCGGGCGTGTCGCTGAACCAGGGCCAGGGCTCTGCGGCAGGCGTGGATCCCTGGAAGATGCTCAGGAGAAAACAGAAGCTGCTTCATCTTCCCGGAACCAGAACGGGGCTCAGAGTCCTCACCAAAGGACCTGACATCGCCTCCCTGGGCCACCTTCCCCTTGCCCGTGCATCCCCCGCCGTGGTCCAGGGCACCCTGGCTCCTCCATCCCACTCACGGCCACTGTCAGGGTGCCAGCACCCCTCTGCAGCTGCTCCCTGTCCTTCCCATCTGGCTTTAAAATCTGCCCTTTCCTGGTAGGGAAACTGAGGCACAGGAGTGTGGCAATGCCCTGCTGCAGCATCATCAGGTCAGGGCTGGGCTCCAGGGCTGGGCGTTCTGCCCTGCCTTGCACCCAGGGCGGGGCCAAATCCGGCTGCGGGGGCTGCACCGGGGAAGGGACAAGGTTCAGGCATTGCAGCTACCGAGAGGTCAAACCCTCCTCCTAAAAGCCGGCTGTGCCCCGAGGTGCCTGTTACCTTTAAGAGGATCTTTATTTGTGAGCTTAATTGGTGGTTTTTCACATCCATATTTATATACCTGGGGGACAGGGAAATGCACCCCTGGAAAACCAGCCGGGTGGCTGCACGGGTGCTGGTACAGCTCGGGATGCAGCGAGCTCCAGCTGGGAATCCCCTCCCTGGGGAAACACCTCCTGCTTCCCCCCTCTGCCACGGGCCAGGGCATCTGCAGCAAAATATATGAGACAAGCCATGTGCGGGGCCTGGAGGACCCTAAAACAAGGGGGTTCCCCCCTTCCTGGGCTCGGTGAGGCTTGTGCAAGGAAAGGGGTGCCTGCGGGATGCAGGCTGGAGCGAGACTCCCCCGGGCAGGGGATGCCAGCTGCAGCTGGATGCACGGCGGCTGTGGGCAGACGGAGGCAGGGCTGGGAGTCACAGTGTGTTTATTGTGGGGAGCGTTTCGGCGGGCCGGAGGGGGACGGGAGGAGGCCAGCCCTGCTTCTCTGGGGTCCTGCTGGCCTCGGGCATCCCATCTGCCTTGGGGCTTCCCCTCTGCATCCGCTTCGGAGCATCCTGCTGGCTTCAAGGATCCCATCCAGATCTGTCTTGGAGCATCCCATCTGCCTCAGGGCATCCCATCAGTATCTGCCCCAACGTGTCCTGCTGGCCTCAGAGCATCCCATCCACCTCGAGCTTATCATCCGCATCCGCCTCGGAGCATCCCATCCACCTCGGAGCATCCCATCGGCCTGGGAGCACCCCAATGTCCTGGGAGCACCCCATCCAGCCCTGGCTCTGCCTGTGCGTATCCCTGCCTGCCA